GTTAATATGTTAAACAAAAATACTGGAATATACCTCCTTCATATAATCAGCCACATGTTTCCCCAAATTAATGACGTTATTTTCTTTTTTTCAAAAATAAAGTTTATTTGCATTCAACGTTCGTAAGTTAAGCAAGATGTACCTATTGATACAAATAGAAAGACATGAAAATAGTATGTCTAACATTTCAGTTGTTTTTTTTTTATTTTTATTTTTTGTTTTTTGTCTTTTCAATAAAACAAATTGCCTTGGACTAGAATCAGTGTATCTCTGAACACAAAAGCTAAGTTTTTTGATACAGAAATACTAATATCTTCATCCGTTATATAATCAGGGAGATGTTGACCCAAATATTGATGTATATTTTCTCTGTTCGCCCAAATTAATGATGGTATTTTCTTTTTTCAAAAAATAAATAAAGCAATGACATGAAAGTAGTATAGTGCACATCGAACATTTCAGTTACATCTATTTGAATGAAAAAATGGCAACTTAGGAGGCACATAGGTCACTTATGATGCGTATTCGGGCATATGTGTAGAGTAAAAATATCATACTTTACGCCGAAAAAGCGAAACTGAAAGTTAAATGCGTTAACTTCCGAAAACCATGTATAATCCAACGAAAATAAATAATTGGTAAATAATAGCTTTCTTTTATGCAAAGAAAAAAAATTAAAAATGTTAAAAAAGAGATGTTGACACAAAATTACATAGCCCCTTCAATTCTAAAGATACTGCAAACGAACTGCACCTTAAAATTTTCCCATAAAGTTCCCATGACGAATATTGCTATCGCTAGCGATTGCAAAATCCAACTTGTTCTTTTTTAAAAATAAAAAGGGAAAATAACGCGTTATTCAACTCAGAATCACGGCATTGATGCAAATATTATAGCAAGTGACTCAGAATAGAGATATCACACAGTTTTCAAGTTGTTAACGCAGAAATTTCGCGATTTTTATGGACCACAGTACCTTGATTTAGGCCATAACCTATGAATTTCCTTCAATTACGCGTGATACCACAAACCTATCCCGGAGTTCGAATAATTGCTCAGTTAATTTCAGCTAGTGAACAACTGAGAAGTGAAGCGATTTCAGTTGTAGCGAGGAATACTCGATTCTTCCTGCACTTTCGTTCAAACAAATGATGTTAGCCCCCTAGTTTACATCTCATCATCGTGGCGACTGTGGATTTTTCAGACATTTTCTCACAAAAAAAATGAGAAATGACGCGATAGTCACGGCAATATTGCGGCAGATACGCAGAAATTCCTGCGGTTTTTTTTTAAAAAAGAAGGAAAAATTTCCGCGTAATTCAACTCGAAATCGCGGCTTACATGCAAATTTTCCACAAAATGATTAAGAACAGAAAGATCACAAAGTTTTCAAGTTAATATCGTGGAAAATTCGAGATTTTTTTGGACGACAGTACCTTTATTCAGGCCAAATCCTATGATTTTCCTTCAATTTCATTACAATGCACATTGCATTACAATGTTCACTGATTTTGAATTTCGCGTGATACCACATCCAGCACATTCGTTCAATCGAATGATGTTGAGCACTTAACATCTCATCATCGTTGTGACTGTGTGATTTTTCAGACATTTTCGAAAACAAATTAGAAATGACGCGATAATGACAGCGATATTGCGGCAGAACGCAGAATTTCCTTTGGGGTAATTTTTTTAAAGGGGAAATTACGCAGTAATAGACTCATAATAGCGCATAGACGCAAATATCGCAGCGAATGACTTAGAACAGAAAGATCACACGGAATCCACCTTTAAATAGCGGATATTTTTTTTACAAAAGTGACAGTTATTACGATGGACGACAGTAACTTGATTATTAAAGCTAAAACCGATGATTTTCCTTCAATTTCATGAATACCACAAACGTACTCCGGAGGTCGCATAGCTGCTGGCTTGATTTCAGCTTGTGGACAAGTGAGAATTTAGGCGAGTTATACCTCGACTTAGCGAGGAAAACGCGATCCTCCCAGCACATTCGTCCAATCAAATGATGTTAAGCACTTGACATCTCACCCTTGTGGCGACTGTGTGATTTTTCAGACATTTCCACACACAAAAATGAGAAATGACGCGATAATCAAGGCAATATTGCGGCCGATACGAAGAATTTCCTGCACTATTGTTTAAAAAATGGAAAATTACACGTTTTTTGCTTCATGATTGCGACGTGGACGGAAATTTTCCAGTGAATGATTTAGAACAGAGAGATCACACAGTTTTATCCTCAATATCGCGAATCATTTGCGATTTTTTTTTATACAAAAGTGAGTGTTATCACCATGGACGGGAGTAACTTGATGAAGGCTAAAACCTATGATTTTCCTTCAATTTCGCGTGATACCGCAAACCTACTCCGGGGTTCGAATAGTTGCTCGCTTAATTTCAGCTTGTGAACAAGGGAGAGATTGAGCGAGTTTTAAACTCAACGTAGCGTGGATTACGCGATTTATCCAGCACATTCGTTCAAACAAATGGACCGCGTTTAACAGAAAGAAACCAAGCTACATCAGCTATTCACTGAAAAAAAATTCTCGGCGTTCTTGCCAAGGTCCGTTGGTACCTTTACCATCTCACTTTTTTTTACCAATTATTGGTAATTTTACCGAGACAGACTGGTAAGCTGACCTAAAAACCGGTATTTTTACTGTTTTTTTCAGGTAAGAATACCACTTTTATTGGTAATCAATTCCCGGTACCTTTGCCATTTTATCTCGGTAATTCTACCACAGTCGATAAAAATATATTGGCGTCTTTACCGGGGTCCAGTAAAATCACCGAGAAATGGTACACGATCCCATAAATGGTAATTTTACCAAGAAACAACTGGGATCAAACAGAACCCTGAATTCTTGGTAATTTTACCCTTTTCTTAGTAAATACCCCGAGATTTTTTTTCAGTGTTGCCAAATTTAAGTAGGCAATTTTATGTTTACGAGAGAGCGTGTGTGCAGATTCGTTTGAAAATTTCAAGGAATTTACTTCGCACTAAGGAGAAACTTCACTAAAATTTGCATTAAAATCCGCACAACCGTTTTCATGTAAAATATTATAGTGCCCGGTTAAATTTGGCAATAGCTGATGTGGCTTGGTTCCTTCCTGTTTAACGCCGCGCCGTCCAAATGATGGTAATAAGCAAATTACATCTTATCATCGTGGCGACTGTGGAATTCGTAGATATTTTCTCACAAAAACATGAGAAATGACGCGGTAATCACGGCAATATTGTGGAAGATACGCAGAATTTCCTGCGGTGTATTCTTTTTGAAAAATAAAAGGGAGAAATAACGCGTTATTCGACACAGAATTACGGCATCGACGCGAATATTAGAGCAAGTGACTCAGAACTGACAAGAGATCACACAGTTTTCAAGTCACTATCGCGGAAAATTCGCGATTTTTATGGACGACAGTGACTTGATTCGGGCCAAAACCCAAGATTTTCCTTCAATTTCGCGTGATACCACAAACCTACCCCGGAGTTCGAATAGTTGCTTGCTTGATTTCAGCTTGTGAATAAGTGAGAGAAGAGATGAAACGAGTTTTTACCTCGACTTAGCGAGAAATACGCGATCCTTCCAGCACATATTATCTATCAAATGATGTTGAGCACTTTTCATCTCATTATCTCGGCTACTGTGCGATTTTTGAGGTATTTTCACTCAACAAAATGAGAAATGACGCGTTAACCGCGGCAATATTGCAGCGTTTTTTGAGAATCCGTACGTACCTATTCCGTGCCATTCTGCTAAAGTCCCGGCATGTACACAAATTCTCCAGAGAATGACAGGACAGAATGATGACAAAACGTTTTAACCATTGGCATCAATATTCATGGACATTGAATTTTCCTCAGAAGAGTCTATTCGTAAAGGAAAACTCCATTTTCTGGAAAACTGGTGTGTATGGAGAGAATATTAGTATAATTTGCAGACTCGAAGTTAATAAATAAATCGGGATCAAACATCAAATCCTGCAAGTTCAAAAAAAAAAAAAACAAAAAAAATTGCAAGCCTTCCTGATTTCACCTGATTCTTAATAATACTTCCCGTATAATTACAAGAGATACGAGACATCTCATCTTAAACCGAGGCATCTTGAAATTAAAATTAGGATTAGACATGTAGTATGAAGGTACCTCCTAAACTGATAAATGACAAGAATGTCAATTTTTACATTTTGCATGATCAGTTCTGTTATAAGCCATCATGATCTTATGTCATCGTCATATGACTTCACTAACTCACATGTGAGCTGAGGAGGTCGATGTCGGTGAAACAGAGGTCCAAAATGGACACAGGGACGTACCCACTCATGCCAGAAGAGAAGGTACCTGCCAGCCATGTTGCATGCAAAATCTATGTACATAGTTCCGTTAGCTTTAAAAAAATTTCAAATTTGAGGCTAGGGTTCGGAAAATTCTGCAAGCTTTGCAATTGTACACACCCTCGCATACAGATTCCAAAATGTGGACTCATCTCCTCGTCTCATTACATGATTCTGATTCCTCATGTCTTTGAACAATACAGAAGAAATAAAATACCATGACAAATCTTAGCACATGCAGCTTGTAACATTCACGGCACGCTACAGGCTATTTCCGTGATCATCCAGCATCCATGAATTCTGGAAAAAGAATCAATCGCCTCGGAAGGTGACCAACTTTCTCACTTACCTCATAAAGGATAACAAATCGCACAAGACATCACACACATTTCACCCACGAACTTTCGGAAGTTTACATGCAGCTTTTGACCTGACTGGCCATATCGCAAAAGGTAAACAAAGCAAAGTGAAAAAGGTATTGGACACCCCATAAAGATAAAGCTGCAAAAATGGAATTTGTTCTCATCAGCCAATAATCGTTCCCATGAGTCTTTTTATCCAACTTCAACTAAATACTGTGTCTGTAGATTGTTGTCATTTCACCCAATACAAAAAAAAAAGTATTATTTTGGATTTACCTTTCGAGTGCAAGCGGTATGCAGACTTTAAGTACTGAGATGAGACTTCACTTGGTATTCGGTGCCCACTTATAAAATTAAACAATATGAAAGATATAAAGTCAACTCTTGACATGAGCACAAGCAATTATCTCTGAACAAAATTCACACTTATTTGATTAGTAAAATTCGTTTCCTTGATTGATGTTTTGCTGAGACACGCTGGAATGTGGCTAGAATCAACCAAACAATGAACACGCGGAACACGCCGGAAATCGGCATTGGGCATTGAACTTGGCAAAACCGCGAGACAGCTGATCAAGATCTAGGTCAGTTGCGCAGATTTCCCCGCTGGGGGTCGTCCCCGTCCATTGGATCGTGACGTCAGCATTACTGCCGCGAAAAGCAAAAATGTCGAAAACAATGCTTTTCTTATGGGAGAATACTAATTTTTATTAATGAAGCATTTAAATTTCTTACTTTTAAATCCTTTGAAATTGTTTGAGTGTCGAAAAGAACGTTCAGGCATTTAACAGTCAGGGTTTCGATTTTAACGAATTTATGTTCTTTTTTCATTTTTGCAGTCGACTCTCAAAGTTTGGGCCGAATCCAGGGGGGGGGCCAAAATCGGCGTTTTTGGAACAACCTCTTTGGCCACATAAAAACCTTGAAAGCTAGTGTCCAAACGTTTTTTTTTGACTCTCCAAAAGCTTCAAACGGTTTGAAAGTGAAACATTTAAATAGGTCATCAATAGCCTTCTCCCATAAGAAAAGCATTGATTCACAGCTTTCTGGCTTTCGCGGTATTAATACTGACGTCATGCGCAGCTGATTCAAAAATGCCGTGTAACCTCAAATCTCTCTCATCTACAAGCTCATCGCCGAAACTCCGCAGCTCCGCAGACATCGCAGGGTGATTCGGCAAAGTTTGTAAACTTGACGGAAAGTTCTGTAGTGACAATTGTCAAAATGAGATGACGAAAAGTTTCGTGTTTCGAGCTCTCTCGCTGTGTTAAAGTTGTTTTCCGTGATAAATTGTTATCCCATTTACCCTAGTTACCCTCTTTACGTTATTGTTTCTCCTAAGTTTTCGTCTTCACAGATTTGCGTCGTTTCACGTCGGATCAATAGCACCTATTGATCCATTCCCCAGCTTTCGGAATGGTCATTCTCAACACCATGGAGAAAGATCTTCGGCAAAATGTGTTGCGCCTCATGGCCGAGAAGGAGAAAATCGAGACGACAATCAGAGAAATGTTCCAAATTCTCGAGACTGTAAGTTCAAAGTGCCGCAGAGATTCTGCATCAGCACTTATCTAAATGCTCTCACTTTTGGTTGACCTTCGGTTGGTTTCTGTGATTTTCAGTCGAACGCTTACCGCTTTTCTTGCTCTATGGCTTTTAGTGCTGTCCAGGCACCTCTCAGTTTGCGGAGTTTCATTCATTGCCTGCCACTGAAAGGAATATTCATTTTGAAAAGGCCAGACTCAGTGAAAGCTCAGTTGCTTTTACGGTCAGATCCTAATTACAGCATCATTAAGTACTGTCAACACCAAATGCGATGAAGTCGGATGAAAGAGGACTTGAGATGAAAACTTAGCAAATAGTACAACTATACCTCAATCCGTAGGCGTTCTTTCTGTATCATTGGCTGAAAAAATGCCTCAGAATCTTAAACATTTGAAAGTTGCGAGTAAACGAACGATTCATCATGTAAGTAAAGAAAATGCAGTCCAAGTATCAAGCAAATCTAACTAAAAGCCGCCTACTTCAGCATCTACAGGAAGGCATGTTTGATTATTATTTATTGTCAGCTTACAAATATGAGCAGATTTAGTTTTAGTAGAAAATTTTTATCTTCTGAAGACCGTGGAAAGAAAAACTCGAATGAATCTAACAATTTGAAAACGAGAAATGGTCTAATTGCTTCCTTTGGGGCCTCATATCTCATCAAATGGAGTGCTGATACCATGTGAGAGCAACAAGAGCATTGACTGAATCCGCGGATATCTCATTCAAAATTTCTGTTCTTTATATTATTTCCATCAACAGTGCGGTACATCTTATCACCCAGACAGAACATCGGATAAGTTTGCAGCTGTTTACTTTCCGTTCGCAGTTGTCAAATGCTGCTTTGCTATGGGAGAATGCCGTCTGAACGTTCAAGAGTTGCCAAATTTTCTTGGATAAAATGTTCATTTTTGAGGAAATTTATTAATATTTTTCCTTGAAATTTTCAGGACCTTTAGATAAAATTGCAAGCAAAATTATCTGAAAAATTGGATTGAAAATATTCATAAGTTTAGGAGGAAATTCGTGTTTTATCAAAGAAAACTTGGCTATGCCTGAAGGTTCATACAGCTTTCTTCCTTAGCACGGCAGAATCAGCATCAAGGATTGACTGCCATTAACAAGGGCACTGTGCGTAGGAACATTAATCTGTTTACTCTGCGTGATAGTCCACAGTGTACAACTGCCGACTTATCTGATCTAAATTCTTCTAAATCATCTACATCTAACCTTTATCAAGATAAGATAAAATTATGCGTTATTTGATTTTAGAGCACAATGGCTTCACAAATGCGTCATAGATACATGATATATTTCCATTAAACATTGAGCGGTTCAACCTTCATCAATAAATTTTTTAACCGAAAAAGGACACAATGTAATTGAAAAATTGGTGAGGTTTTGTCGAACCCTTTTGATTTCTAACTTCTCTCAGATTTTCAGGCAATCGATCGTACATTTTTCTTCCTAGTGTTATATTCGTGTGTACTTTGATATCTTCCTAATGTGTTACCCAGTCTTCTTAATATACTTTCTGATGTAATTCTGTATCATCAATGCAGGGACTGTGAGCAGACAATAATGCAAAAACTGTCTCCGCATGAAACTCTTCTTTTTAGTATATAAATAGTTCTCACTGTCCTTTTTTGCACTTTAAATATCTTTTCAATTTGATTTTCATTGCAATACGATCAAGTTGAAGTTTCGAAAATTAGAAGAGCAAGAAGTACTGAAGTGCAGCCCTCTGCAAGAAGCGCATACAAATTTTGTGTTAAATTAGCATCTTTCAAGCTTACATTGGTGACTTTAAGTGAAACCACCACTAGTAGCAGGTTGTATACGTCTAATCAATCTCAGTTTTCTAGTTACCTTGTAATCTTAGTTACCTTGTCTGGTGGAAATCATTTGGCTGTGCCTGGTTAATTTTTTTCAATTAAGTTAATTTTTTCTATTTTAATGCCAATTTGGCTGGCTTTCATAGAAAATGGTAAAATGATTGAAAAAATAATCGAGCAACAAGCCAAAAATAAATTGAACAAATAATATTTCAAACTACATAAAGATGAGAAATAATAATAAAAAAAACTTACAGGAATTGTTAATTTTTAGTTTCAGCGAGTGTAATTCTTCCCATATGGTCCTTAATATTTTAGGATCCTTAAGATCCTTGAACTTTGCTACAATACTTTGGTAGAATATTCTTGAAAGGAAGAATAATTCTTGTCTAAAAAATTGTATCAAAATGAAAATGTTTTTAATCTCCTCATCATTTCTTTTATTTCAGAATCGCGTGACCATGAATGATCCTCTTGTTGATAACGAAGGGTTCCCTCGTCAGGATATTGATGTATTCCAAGTTCGCCATGCTCGCCACCAAATAATTTGTAAGACAATTTTTTTCAATTTTGGTCTCTTGTGTACCCTGATGTTGTATAAATAGGTTAATCCTAATGAGACCGCAAGCAAGCAGGTAGTCTGAGAATACTGAAACAATGATTATTTTTCCCAAAAAAATTTGCAATATATACTGATGCGAATGATGTTGATAAATAATAGTTTTTGTAAAATCGTTACTTTCAATCAGTCACATTAGAATAGGGGAAAGAAAAGAAGAGACAAATGTCTCATCAAAGAATGCCTCCACTGATCATGAACTTATGTGATAACCAACAGGTCAGCTGATGATTGATGGATTGTGGTTAATGGGTCATATCAACGGTGTAAGTTGGCAATCGCATAACTTGGTTTGCGGTGTCGTAGACTTCCTGTCATACTTTATTTTTTAAACAGAAAACTACTTAACGGCAATTCTTTAAAACTCCCGTGATTTTTCTTCTCTGTGCAAAGAAACTTCTGCCAAAACTTCAAGGAATGATGTCAATTTGTCCTCCTGTCAAAATAACATAGAATCAGAGATTTTTAGACACCGCAAACGAGATGTGTGATTGCGGACTTACCCTGTCGATATGTCTCTTCTTTTCTTTCCTGTGGTCTGTAGCCTCTTGAAAAGCAGGGATTGAGAAAGTTCCTAGACTTCCTATTTTTTGAATAGGTCTTCTCATTTCAATACCAAACTCCTTTTTTCTCCAAGTTCTTTGAATAACAACCATTTTTTGTCACCAACCAGTTGTCGAGTTTTTGCAACAATTTTACTGCAATTCTATGAAAACCATTCGATTTTAACGCTATTGCAAGCTGGCCTCAATTTTTTTACCTCCCCTTTTTTCCTTGCAAGCAGCTACGCAATTATGATGATGTAATCAGGGAGTCTTTGCACCTTCATTGAAAAGTAAATTCAATGTTGTGAAACGGTGTGTGAACTTGTGTCACAGCATTAAGCTTTGGGATCAAACTTCTAAAATAATCAAATACTTTTAAATACTTGAAACATTTACCAACTAGTCTGAGATGAAACCTCAACTCAGACTTGTGGGTAAATATTACAAGCTTTTAAAAATATTTGATTGGAATTACTTAGTCTAATTTGGAAATGTAACTATCTCTAAAGTAATAATATGTTCAAATAAGGAATCCTTCCAAATTTTTGAGCTTGTTTTCTTACAATGCAATATTGCCACCCATTCTCTTTCTCCAATCAACTTCTTATTTACAAACAAACTAAATAAAATGTTTTCTACCAGGCCTCCAAAATGATTTCAAAAATGTCATGAAGAACATTGAAGAAGGTCTGCACCGTATCCACGCCAAATCAAATCCTGATAGCTCTGCCATGGAGAGCACTTCCAGCGTAGCCCCACAAGATTTGCCGAAGCCGTTTGCGAGTATCAACTTCGTGGCTATAAATTCACCAGCTGATGAAGCAGTAAGACCTTATTTTTACAGGATCTTTCTAGCAAAACTAATTGCGACCAGATTTAGGAAAAGGGATCTCATCCTTTGGAAGAAAATCTCCTTAGATTTTTGTTACAACTTAAACAACATATTTCTACGAACTATATATTTTTATCTCGGAACTTCAGGACTAATATCTCCTTTGATTTTGAGGGGCAAGCCTGTGCAGAAATTTCCAGGTTTTCTTTCTTTATCCATTTGAAAAAATGAGGGGAATTTTCTCCCGGGAGATGAGATCCCTTTTCACAGATCCAATCTCAATTTTACTGATGAAAAAGTCTTTGAAGAAATCTTTTTTGGATAGAAAAGAAATGTCTTCTAAAAATTTTTGAGTTCTCAAAAGGATGAAGAAAGTAATAATAAAATAAAAGAGGTTAAGTTAAATGTGCCTGAAAAGGCTGACCAGTTGACAGGCTATGCACAAAAATATCAGAGGAAATGACTCCTCCTTTAAATGTCTTGCAGAAGCTCAAAATCAATTCACAAAATGAAGAATCAGCGTTTTAATGTATATTATAACGGGTCAATTCAACATTTTTAATGGTGAAATAACTGAAATCATTGTAGGGTGTTACGCTCAGCTGACAAATTGTGTCTGATTTCAGTAAAGTCTTCTTGCTCTTTTGTTTTGCAGCTCAAAATTACTGAGAAAAATTCAACACCAAAAAAAAATTGTTTTATTGCTAATCTTGACACATTTTAACCTCACTTTCGCTCAATAAAACTTCGGTTTTTGGCGAGCAAGAAGTTAGAACTTATAAACAAGGGAGATGCAAATTTCTCATTTCTAAAGTGACCTTGGAATGTGTAGTGTCAAATGTGTTCTCTATGGTCAATGAAATTTTGATGAGAAGAAGGTATTGAGGGGCCAAACTTACCCTCTTTAGATGATTGATGGCTCATTGTCTGGTTTGACGAAAGTCATTGGCAGATGAGTGCAGAATAAACCTCACTCATTTGATTTTAATACTTGTTGAAGTACATTAAAGCAGTCTTCTATTTAGTTCTTTGTAGCATTTTCCTATTTTTTTTTTTTTTTTTTTTTTTTTTTTTGGGGGGGGGGTGAAAATGTCTCAGGAATAGGTATCCTGTGTATTTCTTTAAGTTTTGTTTTTCAGCTTTGTCCCTGCATTATTCCCTTCTCTTCCTGGGTTTCTGATAATTTTAATATAGATATGGTCACAAAGCAAAGCAATTTTGAGAAGCCTAAGGGCCTTATCCGTATGGAATATTTGTTGGAAAATATGATCTAGTCTTAACAACTTCACTGACCATATTATACTATTTTCATTTGGTATGTAGGAGTCTCCCTGTGATTGATTCTATTAATTATTAAAGTTTTTTTCCAAGCTGCGGCCCGCTTATTTAAACTATATCGACCCGACACGATAAGATGTAGCCCCATATTAACCATGTATTTTATCGCATTTCAATGTCTTATTGGGCTGCTTTAAACTTTCAATAAGTGGCCCTTTGTATAAGTTACTGTAGGTTCACCAGTCATTTTGATCCGTGTCAAGATAATTGTAACAGGGTATCTACAGATCTGAAAAACAGGGAAAAGTCAAAATAAATCCTAAACCATTTTTCTTCAAACGTATGAAACGTCTATGAAAAAGACTTGAAAATTCGAAGTTCGAAAAAACTTCAGCACTGTTTATTGAATCAATCTGAGCCTCCGTCTCCTTCAAGGTTTAATGCTCTTATAGTCCGCGCCACAAAAAGTGGCGGGTGAGGGACGGTCCAGTCTATCGTTGAAGGGTTGAAGCGTAGGTATTGGCCTGTAGTTGAGACCGGGTAACAACTGGGCCAATACCTGTGCTTCGACCCTTCAACGATAGACTGGACCGGCCGACTGGCTCTGCCCCTCACCCGCCACTTTTCGTGGCGTGGACTATAGTTACACTCTGAATAGTAATCAGAAAAATGGGGTGAAGAATTTCAATTTTAATTTCTTGATCGTTTCATACGTTTGAAGAAATATGGTTTGTATATTTCCGTCACTTGCAATGAAACTAATGCCAAAAATTGACCATTTCCAGTTCATTATCAAGTAGAGTTATGAAAAATCCGAGAATTTTTTTCAGGGAAGACCTGGAATGGTCAGGGAATTTTTTCCTCTAAGTCTGTAGACACCCTCTTGACATTTTGTATATGTCGCAGGGAAATGGTAAAATCGGGCATTTTGTCAAATGCCCAGACAAATAGTCAAATATTCTAACTGAGATTGGAATTCTGATTATTTTCCTCATTTTAGACAAAATAATTGATCGCTCAATAAGAAGAACATTTTAGTAAAAATTCGCATCACACAAAATTATTTTAAACGATTTTTAGCTCCTGAACAGACACTCATCTCAAAATTTTCAGCATGTCATAAAATATAGTATTTTTAGAATTTCAATATTTAAAAATATGAGAAGAAATTGAAGAGAAAGAGATGAAAAGAGTTCGTAGGTTTGATGAGTTATTTTTCCAAAAAATATTGAAAACTCGTGAGCTCTTCGCCATAAGTTCACAAAATTTTGTAGACCGTCAAAATTTAACTATCTGCCTAGGGATTCGATAAAATGCCTGATTTCAATATTTGCCTGCGACATATACAAAATTGTGACAGCTTATTGCTAGATTAGTAAGATGGAGAGTCCAATCATCTTAATTTGTCTGCCATCTCACGATTTTTTGGTAAAGGGCTGCTTCACTTTTGAGTATCTTGGTTGGGGAGAGTTCAGTGCAGGCGAAGAAATCGGGCCTGTCACTTTCTTTGCCCAAACTGAACTCACCTCAGCCGAGACACTTGAAAGTGAAGCAGCCCTTTACCAAAAATCCTGAGATGGCGGAAAAAGTTAAAAATATTGGTAACTATGTACTGCCACGTAGAAATGTTTCTCATCTTGAAATAAGGAATACATAACTCAAGAGACATCAAAAATCTTCAATTCAGCAGCTGAAAACATAAATCTAATCTTCTGCATTGTCTCATTTCGGATGTGATCCTTTCAGGAAATACCAGCCAATCTACGCCAATAGTCCATCTTTGTTCCTCTAAAACCTAATTGAATTCTTGTTTTTTTTCTTTTTTTTTCTTATTCTCCTAATTATATCCTAAAAATGGTAAGCTAAACTATTAATCATCAATTTTCTAAGATTGTAAGTGTTCGTTTCGAAGTTTAAGATGGACTTAGTGATTCAAAGCTAATTTTTCAGACCTGCAATTACATACAAAAATGTACTCTGCTTCAATCTATGCCTACAACATAGTTTTATAAGTATTTCTCTCGAACAATATCTACTTTTTGTTTAAACAATTCTACCTATTTCTTGATTTCAGGGTTTGAAGGTGAACGATTCTCTGGTTCAGTTTGGGACAGTTCACTCCAACAACATTCGCAATTTGACTGATATCCACGAGGTGGTAAAGCACTCCATTGGACAGAGCATCAATGTCACAGCTCTTCGCAACCAGAAGATCATTCATTTGACTCTGAGACCTCACACCTGGGCCGGCAGAGGCGTTCTCGGCTGCGAAATTCTTCCAGTGGATTTTGTTGATCGATGATATTCGTAGTATATTCCTAATTTTAAGGTGAGCAAAAAAGAGAGGCATGCATGGCAATAGGTGAAATAAGAGACTTTAGTGTTTGAAAAATCAATAATGAATTGGACCGAATTAAACAGAAAGGAACCAAGCCACATCAGCTATTGCCAAATTTAATTGGGCAATTTAGTTTTTTACATGAAAACAGTTGTGCGGATTTTCGTGCAAATTTCAGTGAATTTTCTCCATAGTACGAAGCAAATTCCTTATCATCTTCACAGAAATCCGCACAAACGTCCTTTCATAAAAAATTGGATTGCCCAGTTAATTTTGGCAACAGCTGATGTGGCTTGGTTCCTTTCTGTTAAACTCGGTCCAATTATTAGCACTACTTCTTGAAGGGGTTTCCGACAAATGCTTTGGCTCAAGAAAGATCTTAAATTGTTAAACTAAATTGGAATGGACCTGTGAGAAAGAATTTTTGTAGGGATATGGAATAGCAATTTGCTTGCAAAATTTTTAGGAAAAACCAAGAAGTTCATTAAAATCGCATACTTTCACCAATATGTAAAGACCAAGATAAATTTATTTTTAATACTCCTGTCTTTCTTCTGGTCCTTTAATGGGTTTGTTGAAAACTTTTGCTAAATTGTAAAATTGCCCTGCCAAATCGTGGATTGAGGGAGTAAGGCAGGAAATGAGGAGATGCGATCTGCCGGAGGAGCTCTGGCAGGATCGCTATCAGTGGCTGTTGGGTGTCGCAGAGCGCACAGAAGCGCTATAAGAGCGACTTGTTAGTTAATTTGTTAGTTAGAAAGGAGAAAATGAGTAAAAAATCATGATGATTACATCGGTAAGGTCTGAAATTCACTCTTAACTTCACAATCTGCGTGAGACAGTACAGCAAAGACAAAATGTACTTCATTATGCAATTAGGAATTTCAATTTCTAGCTGATCCATAAAAACACCCAGGCACATAGGGGAACCAAGGGTACTTACATATGTTGTTCCTAAACTGAGCCAGAAATTGTAGTTCCTAATTGAAAAATGCTGTCCAAATTTGACTTTAATGAGTCAGCCTGGTTTCTAGGCAAAAATGGAAATTGCCGCCATTTTGTGACACAGTTTCTTCACTAATAACAAGAAAAAAGTATTTCTACCTGTTTAATTTGAAAAGCAAGTAAAAGATATCTGTCAAATAGGGTTTGTCATGTTGCATTATCTTAATTGAAAAACTGCGGCGCTTGAAAGTAGCTATTTTCAGTTTTGCAAGGAGTTTTGAAACTAGATCGACTCACATGTATCAAATCATGTCTTCACTGCTTTATACTTTAAAAATCGGGAAGCTAAAAATCAGCAAAACGCTTTTGCAGATTGTGACTGTCAGTCGTTTTTTATGGTCGCCTAACTTTTTTCCAGCAAATAGTGAAGCTTTTTAGTGCGACTTCTGTGAGAAAACATATAATACATTGCTTAAATTCCAAGTTTCTCTGGGTCTGTTCTTTTTCCCTCAAATCGACAGATAGCTATTCTGAAATCATCAGTGCATTCTATATTAGAGGGTGTTTATTTTGCAGATGACATCTTCGCCTTGTAGAAGTTGTGGAGGTTTAAAAAAAATAATTTATTGAAACAGGAATTATGAAAGAATTTATTTTGAAGGGAGACGATGATCTAACTTCATTTTATGTTTTAAACTTATTTTGTGAAGAATGATGCTCAAAATGGCTCCTAAAAATTGCCTTGAAAATACATCGTTCTTTCTGCACCAAATTTGAGCAAAAAACATATTACACAGCTTCGAAAAGTTGAAAATTGTTATTTTGACAGGAATAGAGAGGCTTAAAATCGAAGTTATTCATAGGATGTTCTTGAATTCAAAATATGCCATTGAATTTAAAGACATCCTTGAATTTTAAAAAGAAATAAAACTAGGTATTAGCATAAGTTTGGCCCTCACAACCCCAAAATTCTGGTAAAGATAAACATTTTGGCTCACGTGGATTCTGATCTTTAGAACATGGGGAAATACAGAATTCATAAGGGAATGAAAATATCCAGAAAATTCTAACTTCATCAGAGATTTTGTGTTAAAAACTGGACCTTTTTTTTATCTTTTTTTAATAATGTAGGACCATTTTATATTTATGTATTACTACGCGATTAATTTTTGGTATTCAATCGCCTTAAAAATGAAACAATTGTTAAATTTACTTGAATCTTCAAAATAAAAACTAGTTTTTACAGAGGATTTAGAAGTAAACGAGAAGAAATTTTCAAAATTAGGTAGGAATTTTCAAGAATTGCTTGTTCATTATCAAGAAATGAAAAAGCACGAGCATTCTAGACATCATGATTCACTATTTAAGATCAGGGAAATTCCAATTCAGAGAAGAACTTAATTATGTGAGGAGAAGGCTTCTTTTGCAATTATCGGATTTCTCCCAGGGGAAAGTTTGAGTTGATAAAGATGAATTTCAGCATCTTATCAAATTCTATGTTTATAAACTTCATGTTTTTTATTTAATCCCTTTCCTAAAGTTCTCAATTTTTTCTTTCTAGGTTACTGTTTCGTGCATTCAGACTATTGAATCAAGGCAACTCTCAAGCCAGCAGTATCAACGGTACAGGAACGTTTTCGGAATGAAGTTACTTCTTGAGTTTTTCTTTACCTATTGTAAGGTTGTCTTCACCGTCGTACTTTTTAGGGCATCCTTTATTTCCTCTTCTAAGAACTTTTCTTGAATTTCAAAAGCCCCTACCCAGTGAAGTATTTCAAAAAGTTCATCTATCTCATTCTAGTCTGTTTCATTTTGGTTACTACACTATATGAACCCCTTTTTACTTTTTCCCTACAATTTTTAACTTATTTTTGTTTGTATTCTCACTTTTTTAAAGTATTTTTTACTGAACTGAAGAAAAGATTGAATTAAGAATGAATAAAATTAATGTGAATTAATGAATTCCTTTGTTTTGTTTGTCTTCTTACAATCAACATTTTTCACCTGCTAATCACTCATTTATAATTGAGTTTCAACAAGAGAGGTCCTGACGGTTTGAACACCTGGAAAGTCAGGGTATTTACTATGACCCAAAAAATTCATAGTATACGTGGAATAAATCAGGGAGTTTTGCGATCAGCATGTCGGTTCAACTACAGCTGAGTCCCTCTTTCCATAATGTGAATCTGTAGAAATTCGTTTATTGTTCAGCAACGGTCAGTGGAATCATTGAAAAAAAAAAAAAATCAACTGCATGTGGAGGTTTTGATTGAAGGTCAAGAATAGGCAGGTGAACGTAAGGGATAGTCTTTGAATTGGGAAATTTTGGAATCAGGGAAAAGCAAAAAGATTTCGGGTAAAGTCCGAGAGTTAAAAAGTTAAGAAATCATGAAAACCCTGAATGACTCAAGAAGCTTAATTTCCCAATAGACAACTTTGAGTTTACTGATGGAGGATATATATGATTTTTCAGCGATGGATGTGGTAATTTTTTCTTTTTTTAAAAAATCATTTAATCAACGTTTTGTGTAAGACCAGGTATCCAACGAACCTTTAACTGATTTTTTTGCCATTTTAATTTTATTTTAAAAGTGAAACCACAGAAACCTCCCTTTCTACTGGAGTGTTACAAAATTTCCACTTCTTAACCTACAAGGGAGTTTTATCAATCATTTTTTGTATGAAAATTTTGGAGATTAAAAATTGTAAAAAAATATCTTACCAGATTTTGTGCAATGATGAAACAACATCAACTTCTGTTAGAAATTTAGCAATGTTGCAAACTAAGATTTGTGATTTTTAGTCATTGTCACGTTTCTTTACATCTACCCATTATGCAAAAATCAGGGAAGTCCAAAGATAGAATCCAGATATTATGAATATCGATGCCCAAGTCGTGAAACATATCTGCATTTTCAACGATGCAGACTTCCTGTTTTATTCTATTATTGCTTTGGAAAACTAGTCTACATAATTTCTTGAGAACCTCCTTGATTTTACTCTCCGTTCGCAAATATTTTGTATAAATTTCAAACTATAAAGTTGGTTTGTTTTTCTTTGAAAAAATAAAATAGGAGCGGAAATTTTTCATCACCATAATTGAGATACATGGTTTTGCATTTGGACTATTGATCCACAGACGCAAAATATTAATAGATAGAATAGGTATGCGTTGTATGTCAGGCAGGATTTTTGTATTTTCCCTGATATTCCAAATTTGACAAACTTAGTTTTATTCTTGGGATTCAGGAAACTTTTCAGGATAGACAAGAAGTGCTGAAGCTTAGGTTTGTCATTAGAAAAGTATTTTTCGTATGTGTAAGTATGAATTTTCGTTTGAAAGAGGGAGTGTAAGGGTATGTAATTTGACATTTCCAAATAGTCACTGCAGTACAAATTAAAAGTTTCAGAACGATGCCTTGATTTGCAGTAATTGTGACTCCTTGGTTTTGCAAAAAATTATAATTCTAGTACGCTTGTTTTAATGATATGCAATAAAACTGGGGTCTTCTGATTTAAGGGCGTCCTAAAGAAAAAATGTTCCTAAATCGACTTGCATGAAGTAAAAAATTTGATTCCAACCACTAAATACCAAAATCCTGTGAAGAGCAGCTTTTTTCGCTGCTATCAAAAATTGACATATAAAGAATCAAAAAGATACCTATGTAGGTAGTCACTTCTAACTCCTTTCAGACAATTGTCAAAAACTTGACTACTTTTTGGCACTAAGAATTTTAACAGTCAACTGCGCTTAGTATTTCTCAGAGGAAAAAAAGATATGTATGTGCCTTTTTGATCCACCATAATGGAACTTAGTAGAAGCTATGCTTTCTTTTATCAGAACACTTTCATAATGTGACATAAATGTTTCATGAAAAAAGTTCCTTCATGAAAAGGTCAAGATAAGACAAGCATAGCTCCAAAGCATGACTCCATGATGATGGATAGAAGAGGCACTTTTCTTTTCTCCCTCTGGGAAATCTGCATTTTACTAAGTAGGACAGGACTCTCAAAGTTTTCAGGTCGCATCACTCGGAGAGTCAGCAGCAATTCAAGTTTTGAAAATTCTTGATACCAAAACGAAATTTAAGTTCAGAAAAGTGACTATGCGTTCTTTTGGCGCTTCATGCTTTAACTAATGCCCATGCATGCATGCTGGATTCCATGCTGCAATTATTCTTCAAAAACTTTAAGTGCAAAGACCGAGATCTCCTAATTGCCTTTTAGCAAAAATTGATATGTGACCTGATCCATGAGATATTCTGTCACCTCAACTATGACTATACTTTCGAGGGAATCGTACAATCTCACAATTAGATGAATAAAAGTTAAACAATACCGGTAACATCTTTGAGAAATTTCCAAATTTTGATGGGCGAAAATTGCGGAAAAAAAAAAAATAAAAGGAAATCCAATGTGCTTAAAAGAAGCATTCCAACAAGGTTAATCTCTCTGTTAATTGAGAAAAATACACTACGAGGTCATCATAATTTTTCACCATAGAAATGGTGAGGAATAAATTTTCCTTGATACATGAAGCAAATCAGGTCTTGTAATAGATTGCTATCCTGGCCAGGACAAGCTTATAAGAGGTTTCATCCTAGCTGTTGCTTCAATGAGATTCGACTTGATAGTTGCCGTGTTGAAAATTCGGAATGAGAAGTTCTATTTTAAAATGTCAACTTATCATAGGTAAAGACTGAGGCAGGGTGTCTGGCAATTTCAAAAAAAAAAAATTCCCTGATTAAAACTGCCAAAAAACTGGGGAAAAAATTAAAATTCTCTAACAGGCGGCAAAATTAATCCCCTGACAAAAAAGAAAATTTCCTAGTTTTTAGGCCTGGTTGAACTGATTACATGTAGAATTTTTTCAAGTTTTAGGAATACAAGGTGATAAATACAGCAAAATAAATCGTGCCTAAACTTACGCAAGATATTTTTGCCCAAAATTTGAAACTTAAGGGATATTGGCAGAATTTCTGGTAGGAATTTTGTGAGAAATCTCCAAGAGAGTGAAATTCGCAAATCATGTTCCAAAAAATTCACGTTTTCCAATTTCTCCAACACAAAAATCGATTACAAAATAAAATTTCCTGACATGCCAAATTTTTGCAGATACCCTGATACCCAAAAAAATTCCCTGACATTTCCTGGTCGCTAGGCAACCTGTGAAGGAAAATTCTAAGATTAGATTGGGACGAAAGGAAGTAAATTGCTGATCAGAGCTGGTTGAGCAAGATTCTGGTTATTTGTATTGATACGTCCTAGAGCTTGTGCATCAACATATTGAACTAATAAGGGCAAGAGTAATTCCATATGAGAAAAAAAAAAAAAAAAAAATCACAATTGATTACAAGAATTGGAAAAGTGGATTTAATTAATTAAGCACTATGCATAGATTTTGGGGCACTTTATTCTAAGAGAATGTAAATTCCACTTCAATGGCTACAAGTAAACACCTTCATCAGTGTTTAAGTTGAAACGTTTGCTGCATGAGCTGATGATCATACGAATGCTTAGAGGATAAGGTATGATGGATTTTTCTTTTAGATGAAACAACACATGTAAGTAATTCTCTCAAACTCTTTAATTCGTAGCAAAACTTGAAAAATGTAAAAAAATAAAAATAGGATCACATAAGTTAAAGAAATCAAACACAGGAAAACAGTAATTGAGAGAAATCAGGACAGATGATCAAGGATTTGTTCGTTTGTTGGGAACTTTTGTCTTTAGTATTCTTCGGCTCCTTCACCCTCTCCTTCAACGGAGTCCATGCCAACTTCCTCGTAGTCCTTCTCGAGGGCAGCCAAGTCCTCACGGGCTTCGGAGAATTCTCCTTCTTCCATACCTTCTCCAACGTACCAGTGGACGAAAGCACGCTTGGCGTACATCAGATCGAACTTGTGGTCAAGACGGGCCCAAGCTTCAGCGATGGCGGTGGTGTTGGACAACATGCATACGGCTCTTTGGACCTTGGCAAGATCGCCACCAGGAACAACTGTGGGTGGTTGGTAGTTGATACCGACCTGTTAACAGAAAAATGTGGGATTAGAAACAAAACAGTTTTACAAGACATATCTTAGACTTTTAAAAAGAGGAAAAATGATAGGTGTTTCTGAGAAAATTAAGTATGCAACCAGACAAAACAGATCTTCAGAATGATTTTTAAGTATTTAGTTGCAGACAAAAATTTAGATTAGATACCAAGGTAAGAAGTTGTTCGATTATTTACTGATCTATAATTTTTTACATGGATTCAGCCACAGAACTAGGATACTTTCTTAACAATACATTTATCTATGAATAAGAGTATATCTATCCTTTATGCAATTTCCCTTTCTTTCAAGCAGCAATATTGATATAATTAGGTCCTGTATGCAGAGTTGCCACTTTGAAAAAGGCAAGAATGTTGCATGAGCTTACTGATAAACAACATTTCACTTTTCCAAATAAAGAGTGTCAACCCTTGAGACCATAGAAAATTGAGAAAACTAAAAATGAATTTTAAAAATGCAATTAATTCTCAACATACCTTGAAACCAGTGGGACACCAGTCGACGAATTGGATGGTTCTCTTGGTCTTGATGGTGGCGATGGCAGCATTGACATCCTTGGGCACAACATCTCCTCGGTACAACATGCAACAGGCCATGTATTTGCCGTGACGGGGGTCGCACTTGACCATCTGGTTGGCAGGCTCGAAGCAGGCGTTGGTGATCTCGGCGACAGACAACTGTTCATGATAGGCCTTTTCTGCGGAGATGACAGGGGCATAGGTGACCAGAGGGAAGTGGATACGTGGGTATGGGACCAAGTTAGTCTGGAATTCAGTCAAGTCGACGTTGAGGGCACCGTCGAATCGGAGGGAAGCTGTGATGGAGGAGACGATTTGACCAATGAGCCTGTTGAGGTTGGTGTAGGTGGGGCGCTCAATGTCCAAGTTACGGCGGCAGATATCATAGATGGCTTCATTGTCGACCATGAAGGCGCAGTCGGAGTGTTCCAAGGTGGTGTGGGTGGTGAGGATTGAGTTGTAGGGTTCGACAACAGCGGTGGATACCTGCAGAAGATAAAGAATCATTAATATCAGGAGAGGCAAAAAAAAATTAACAGTTTGGTGAGATCAGATTAACCTGTGAATAGACCGCCATAGAACTTTAACAAACTTTATAAAATATCTTTCAAAATGTCAATCTCAATAGGAATTCTTCAGCATATATGGGAAAGTTAACTTTTTTCAACATCTTGGAGAGAGCCCTCTACTTCAATAAATTCTGTTCATTTTCCTCCTAATTTAACAATTAATTAAGGTACCACTTCTTCTAGTTATTCATTCATACTTTGTCTTTCTTCTGCATCTACGATTTCCCTTTTTTTGTCGTAAATTTTTCTCATTCTATTGAGCCTTAAAAATACTATTTTTTTGTTCTGTCAAGCTATGCCAACCATTGTTTAGTAATTTTCTTGTTATTTTATTTGGTTTAGTAACATATGCCACACAAACTCAATTTTGGCATATGGAGCTGTATTATTGTACTTATGTAAATTGAAATTTTTGAAATAAATAGATCTTGAAAATGATTATTATTTCAAGTAAGATGTCATGTCTTACGCATTCTGAGTGGAAATACATTCTGAGTGGAAAGATCCAGAAAAGTGACAAAGGACTCAACGATACATCTTTGCTGTGAACAGCACTGCATTAGATATTCCTCTGTTTCACTATGCTGACTATGTCATTCTGAACTGGAGTTGCCATCTCAGTTAAAAGAAATGAAATAGGAGTTTACAAAAAGGCCAAAGATGGCTCCTCTCTGAGGATATACCAGTGCTACTAAAATTGAAAATTTATATTGATTTGCTTTGATGATTCAAGTGTAGAGCAGCATAAAGTCAAACGAACCTGAGGTGCTGGGTAGACTGCGAATTCCAATTTACTCTTCTTTCCGTAGTCGACTGAGAGACGTTCCATGAGAAGGGAGGTGAATCCGGATCCGGTACCACCACCGAAGGAGTGGAAGATGAGGAAACCCTGGAGACCGGTACATTGGTCGGCCAATTTACGGATGCGGTCCAATACTAAGTCGACGATTTCCTTTCCAATAGTGTAGTGACCTCGGGCGTAGTTGTTGGCGGCATCTTCCTTTCCAGTGATCAACTGTTCAGGGTGGAACAGCTGTCTGTATGTGCCGGTTCTGACTTCATCTGAAAACAGAAGTGAGTATGATTTAAAGGTCAGTCTTTGATTTTCTTTGAATAATAGCTGGCCGGGGTGCTTCTCTCGAACGGATTTCTTTGCTTTAAAAACATCATTAAAAATTTACTGACTGAGTGTAGATAATGACAGACAGTAGGTGGTATGAACTAATTTTCAAAAATTCACAAGATTAATAATTTAATGACACATCTCAGCAACCCTGATGAAAACACCTAAGTAAGGAGAAATAAAAAGTAATTTCAGAGCAGTCTCAAGCTACTAGTGCTCGTGCATTTGATGTTGAGAAAAACGTCAAAGAATTGTCACCACTCATCAGTGGTTCCATCTGACAGCATGAATTAACCTGTTGAGGGGTGCTTAATGCAGAGCTAATCAGAGATTGAAGTTTGCTTCAATATACAATGTGCGAGCTATAATTTGCCTATATACAGGGTATCATTTAAGAATTCCAGCAAATAAGTTTGTTTCTTACATCCAGTAGGCAGGCGACTGATCTGCCTTAGACCAATCGCAATCATGGATTGACAGCCAGTGCTGTGAAAGCACACTTCCAAAAGTAATACAGCCTGCTGTGTGGAACAATCAAAATTAAGCAACTATCAAGGAGTCCGATGCCCAGTTTGACAGATCGTTGTTGATGATACTCAAGAATGCATCAGTAATTTAAATCTTCATTTGATGTTCAAGTAAATTTTTAAGTTAGAAGAATGAAGGACAGGCTTACCGACGACGGTGGGTTCTAGATCTACGAATACAGCTCGGGGAACATGTTTTCCAGCTCCAGTCTCGCTGAAGAAGGTGTTAAAACTATCATCTCCGCTTCCAATGGTCTTGTCAGAGGGCATCTGACCATCAGGCTGGATGCCATGCTCAAGGCAGTAGAGTTCCCAGCAGGCGTTACCAATCTGGACTCCAGCTTGTCCAACATGAACTGAGATACATTCACGCTGTAGAACAGAGATATTAATTCGTGAGAATATAAAAATGTTAAACACTGGTTTAATATCCACAATACTAGATCATCAATTAATATTGTACGATTTTGAAACTTAGAGAATTCAGGAGGCTGGGGTAGACACTTTAGTCACCGAGGTTGCGAGGTGACTGAATGGTCACTTCAGTTTTCCAGGCTACTCATTAACTAAGATGCATTCTCTGGAGGCATCAGGTCAACTGTTGGTTTCCTGATGAGGACCGTTGAAAGTTTGATGATCGTTCTTGAAGACTTGCTGACTTCTCGCTGATTGCCCGCTGTCATGGCGGGTCATCGGCCAACGCAATCGTCCAGCACCTTTCAAAGGTGCTGGGAAAGGCCGCTGAGCGTTGAGATAACCTCAATGTCTCAAGAACACTCCTGAAGTAAACAGAAACAAAACCTAGAAAATCGGTAAATCTAAAAAGAACACGATGGCAACAGATTTGAGCTGCCATGCCAGTCACATGACGAAAATTGGTCATCAGGCAATTCGTGAAAAATCAGCAACATTTTTTCTCTGATGCTTGAACTCATGAAAGTTGAGGCTGGCCAAAGGTGCCAGCCAAAGCTTGGAGGACTTAAAATGAGCTTGAGAGCTTGTTCTTGTTTGTCAAGAAATTTCAAGTAAAAGTGCCTAACTCGTAAATCTCTAGAACTTGCAAGAGCTCAAACATGCACAGTTCACAGCATTAAGCGATGCAAGAAATTTTACAATTGCGGTGAATCTTGCTCAGATGGAGATGTACAAATTTCTTCAAACTGTTGTTGTGATTAGAAATTTAATCTAAAATGAGTGAAAATGGAATTGAAATTGACAAGTCAGTATTTTGAGCTATTTCATGATATTGCATCTTCTTGGGAATACGCACAGGCATTATCACCCGAAGTTTTGAACTTCAGTTCTTCCACCAAATCACTCCAGAAACCACCCTGTACATAAAATTCTCAAGGATTTCCCCACATTAGACCAAGTGAATGAGAAGCACAACAATTTCTGAGCTTCAAGTTTGAATTAAAGTATCCATGTTCCCACAAAAACTTTTTGTTGCGTCACGAAAAGAAATCAAGCAGATACAACCTGCTAAATTGAGGCAATCCCAACAAGACATCACTTACACTTCTGAACAACTGAGCTAACGAGGGATTAATATAACGATTGGATGAATACATTGCCCTGGTGAGCAGCAGATAAAAATTGAAGAATAATCAGCTGATCACAAACTTTTGGTCTGCTCAAAAATTTAGGATTTGAATTACAACAAAAATTGCATGTTTCAGTAGTTCAAAAAATCAAGGAAAAACCATCAGCTGTCATAACCATGAATACCTACTTAGGTTACTCTCTCTCACAGGTACCAAAAAGACAGAACATTCAGAGGCCAGCTAATCTCCTGATAAATGCTGAATGCTTTGGGGAGTGGGAAACACTTATCCTAGTTCACCCAAACAGTGAAGCACTAAGAAAGTAAAACTTACAAAATTCTAGGAATGGCCAAAATGTTTCTCATAAAATTCTACAACCAGAAAAAAAACAACCAGAATCCTGATCCTAGCAATATGCAAGAGCTCCTTCTCCTGACATTGCTGACAGAAAAGGCGATGTGATTCACAAGAGGCATACTTTGAAATAGTTTAACTGCCGTCCGCCTAAAATATTAGGAGCCACCTAAGCCGGAAAGCCCAATTTTTGGGAGCCAAATGAAATTTTAGCATACAGGCCATGGGCGAATGAAAATTTGCAGAAGACATGAATGCGGAGCTGCAGTGTTTACTGGTCCAATTGGTCAAACGTAGAAGGAGCCAAGATGGCCCAGCCTCCCCCCCTCCTTTTAGACGCATGGCGTCCAGGGAAGGCAGAACACTGAACTGACATGCAATAATTTTACAGCAAAGTTTTTCAGCGTGTTGCTGTTGAGGGAAGCAAACATAGGTGGTTCAGCGATTATACCTCGACTGATTTGACCCTATCTTTCTGGTCCAGACTTAAAAATTAGGAGCACGAATCATTGTTTTTCAGCTTGCTGGAATAACGATAAAATGACCTGGCAGGATTGCTGAAATTTAACGAGACAAACTGGCAGGGTGATGGGAAGTGAATTTCAATCATTAGGTACGGTAAAGGGCCTAACTAGTATGTAGTTAGCTCAATATGAACCAAAATTGATTCTGATTAAGTTTCAAGAACTAGAATGTAATTGGATCAGAGCTAAGCATAGAAAGAACATGCTGAAGATGCCTCTTGCTCTGATATCGGAACTCATGGGATGGTAGCCATGCACTTAACACCTCGCTGATGTCTGATTCAGAGACGGACGCTTGTAAAAGAATCATGTAAATGAAAACTGCCTTAAATTCATAAATTGGGGAAGTGAGAGGCAAAAATAATAAAATGGAGAATGTTCCAGACAATGAAAGCTAGGCATTTGGCGCCGGAATGGCGTTCTCGCTGTAGGCCACCGGGGTCGATCTGCAAGAAATAAAGCGTAAGTTCACCTCTCAGACATTGGAAACTGCACGAAAAGAAAAAAGAAGGAGAAAGCTGAGCAAGAAAGCAACGATACTGAAAGGAAAGGCTGCTGAACTGGAAGAGAAAGTTGATTGAACTTCACACATTCACAAGTAGGCCACTATCGAGGAACCGTTACACCGCGACACACTGAACTGAAAATCCGTGAAAATACGCGAAGAAACCGGGGGAAAACGTCGAAACACACAGGATAATTGAGATCTAACTACGAAAACTTACCATTTTCAAAAGATTGAGTTAAAAATCTACAGGAAATAAATTAAAAGCAGGAGGAGAATTCACGAGTATGCGAAGCTGCGAACAACGGGGCGGCTTAGCACACAAAGAATGCGCGCCAGTGGCGGTTGGTGCTTTTTATATGACCTTCCTCTTCCCACAACCGCAACGGATTTTAGGCGTGGTTATGACATCACACCGCCGCGTTCGCCGCTCCCATTGGCCCGTTCAAACTTGGATCCTCGCGGAGGCTCAGGAAGTGGGATGAATCATCCGGCTCCTTATCCCTGCATTGCTGCCGCTACTATTGATTTTCTTCTTGTCTGTGACGGATTTTTCATCTATAGCAATCGAAATTTTAAAAATAATTAGGTGCTTTTGGTGAGATTTGGCACCTAAATGGCTCTGTCTCCGTTCGCGCCAAGCTCCTTTCTTGCCGCACCGAAAAATTCTGGAGCCGCGCGATGATGCCGCATGGTGCAATTCCTGGGTAGGTACCTAATGATATTTTCGAGACTCGCTCCTTTGGACTCAAGTAAGCCAGAATAAACGCGGAAACTATCGAGATGGACTACCGTCGTTGCGCTCTCACAAACACAAAATGTTGTTAACGAGCTAAATTTAGATCATTATTTTTGTCATGGGTATCCAAGGGCTTGTCTACTCCCTCCCTTAAACACAAATTTAAACATTAAAAGTCTAGTTTCAGTTTGGCAGTTGGATAAGTAAGGGAAAATATGTCCAGTTTTGTCACTAAGGACGGTGCTCTCATGAGCGGAGCTAATTTTAATTTTTTTTTATTTTTTTCATTTTTCCATTATTAGGAGGTGGCATGGGACAATTTTTATGGTAAGAGTGGCAAAACACCTATCGAAATAGCGAAGTTTCAAGATGTGCGCTGTTTCTTTTCAGTTTTTCGAAGAAAAACAAATCTACATACCTACGTAATACTTTACGGCATACATTAATATCGCTCAAAATATTTCTATATGATATTTTACCTACACAGCACGAAAAACCCGATAAAAATGCCGAGATACACCTGTAAGTAGTTCACTGGTTTCCTGTGGAAAAAATTAAACATAATTATATAAGAAACCTGCAACGTCGCAAAGCAACTTACGCTCATCGCGACTGAGATGTAAGTGGATATTGAGAGGGCTCCACGATATATCGATTGATCTGCCAGCTAAACCTTTGAAAAAGTATCGATCGACAGGGTTCTCGCAACGAACACCTTAAAAATCGATTCTCTACCATAGCTTCAAATGGGGAAATATCGATTCATCAAGCATCGCCACCGTCCACGATCGAAAGGTTTCACGTTGATAAGGAGGGGGGGAGTGGGGGGGCCGAGACACCTCTTCTCCCTTTACCTTTTTCCGATTTCCCCTTACCTTCCACCATTGCACCCAGGAAATCATTTGGGCTTGTGATGTTACAGATTTCCTATTTTCCTGTTGCATTTCATTTTATCAAAATACGAATGTTCATCGATTTTTTTTCCAAATTCCGTAGGGCTCGTCAGGAATTTTCTTTGAAAATTTCGCGTTTAAACGTCAAAATTAAAGTTTTCCCAAAGGGGAAAATAAGATCCAAACAAAGAACGACTCATCAAAGTAGGTGACTCTGCCACAGAGATACCTAAATGTTGCGATTTCGAGAGCCGGCAACGTTGTAATGCATTTCTTGGAAAATTGGAAATGTTGCGATAAAAATTATCCAGTAATGGTTTACTTCATCGACACAATAAGCAACGCTGGAATGAAGTTACTAAGGTTTGAGAGAAGCAATCAAAGCTTCAGTTAGTGTCACATGTGACGGATGTAAACGAATTTCATTATAACGCCCAGATGCAACTATTCGAGCCCCGTGGATGTCCGCGTTGCATACGCACTGAAATGAAGGCGTTTTGACTTTCGACACTCTTATAACCGCCTCACCAGCGACGCTCAATTGAGCGTCAGTGGCGTGGCGTGCTTTGCGATACATCGATGGATCTGTCATTTGAACCTATGAAAAAGAATCGATGAACAGGGTGTTCACAGCGAACACCTTAGTAATCGATTATTTACCATGGGTTTAAATGGCATAACAATCGATACATCGCAATTCACGCCACGCCACTGTGGAGCTTGTCAATCTGTTAAATAGAGTAGTCGAACAAAATGTAAGTATTAAAAACTAATTGTAGCTGTTCGTTAAAGAGAAGTTTTAGAAGTGGTAACATTGATTTTCTCGTAATTATCCTTCGAAGAGCACCCCAAACAATTTATGATGTGAAGAAATTTACGTGAAAATTTGCGGTTTCAGCCAAAAACATCCAACCCCTCTGAAAGGCTCGTGTCATTGTGCGGTAGGCTTTACTGTGGGAATGTAAAAAGACCAAGTACCTACCTTCATTATTCATACTTGGAAGACATCTCTTCGGCATGAGTAGTTGTTCTACAAATCATGCTGAGTGGCACAGCGCGATATTAAAACTGAAGCACGAAAGATACTCTTATATTATGACTCTAACCAAGTATTCGTGTCTCGGAGATATCTTTGTACCATCTATGAAGAATATTGAAAGCGCTCTACCATTTTGGATCCTCGCAGTAAAGCCTGCCGTTGTTGGCGCGGCGTGGGGATGAAGTGGCGAGTGCTTGGACAGCCATAACGCCTTCAATTGAGTGCGTATGCAACACAGACATCCTTAGAGCCCGAATAGTTGCATTGTATCGTGTTTGTCGCATTCGACACTAAAAAGGGGCTTTCCTTGTTTCTATTACATCGATACCTAATTTCAGCGTTGCCGATTATGCCGAAGCAGTAGGAAATTACTGGTTTTTATTGCAACATTGTCAATTTTCCGCATAATGCTCTGATTGTTTATACATATAACAACGTTGCCGTCCTGCAATGTGAGCTGCGGCTCCTACTTTCTTCAGTAGCGTGGCGTGCTTTGCGATATATCGAGTGTTCGGCCATTTAAATCTATGGGAAAGTATCGATAAACACGGTGTCCGCAGCGAACACTTCAATTATCGATTATTTAACACGGCTTAAAATGGGGAAAAATCGATAGATTGCAAATCACACCACGCCACTGGAGCTGGGGGAGGGGGAGGGGGTCACCTTCCCCACCCATACCTCCAGCCCCGCAAGGCGCTGCCTCAAACTCATCAATTAATTAATTAGAAAGCAGATTATCAGTCCAAAAAGCGCGGGAAACGTATACAACGTACCGGCTACATTGCGTAACAATGTCTTGAACGACCACATATCAGCGCACTAAAGTTAAAATTGATTGCTACACGTACCCGAGTTTGATAACTGCTCATCATCATGCACATGCATCATTCTAGGATTAAGATTAGCTCGTTTGGAATTTGTTTTCTCTTCCGCTCTCTCCTCAGGAAGAGGGTGCTCTGTTGTTTTCCCGCGTTCAACTTTACCGTTTACAGGTGCTTGTAAGGTCGAAGAACCTCGAGTTAGTGCGGTGTTGCCGTCGCAAATTCCCCTGTCCGAAAAAGCTCCCGGGTAATTTTTGTTGTCTCGACTTCCAGCAAGAGGAAGGCCAGATGATACAATTTCAAATTTTATGGTGNGGGGGGGGGGGGGGGGGGGGGTAACATCCTCTGGCCTCTGAATAGCTAGCTATCCATCATGCACTGGACCTGACTTTCTGGCCCCCTCTCTCCTCTTCCAATGATCATACATCGTCCTTTCTCTGACGAAGGAACGTAATTCCATTCTGAAGTAGCAAAACAGACCCAAAAAATTCATTAACTGGGGGTACCTATATCCCCTGACCGCTCTGCACCTTAGGCCTCATGCGTTACGATACTTTTTTTACAATATTATAGACCGCGTTAAGCAGAAAGGAACCAAACCACATCGGCTGTTGCCAAATTTAATTAGGCAATTTAATTTTGTACGTCAAAAGGGCAGGGCCGGATTTAGGGGGTGGCCGCATGGGCCGCGGCCAATGGCGGCAAATTGTATAATTTTTTTAAGAGTGATGTAAAAAAATTCGGATTCAGAAAATTAAATTACAAACGAGAAAAGGTGACGAAATATCTCATTTCCTGAGAGTATAATAATTCCTCATTTTGTCGTCTTTCGGTGATACAAGAGACACGGTAAACTGACCGGTCGGCCAGGTACCTGACTGTTAATTGGTCGAGTTAAGCGAGAAACCAAACACGCAATTTGGCCCGGAGCGGCGTGGCGCAGAGATCAATGATGACGAGGACTTGAGATGAAAAGGAAAAGCCCTCGGTGCGGCGCGGCCGCGCGGCGGTCGGCATGTAGCACATATTAGCGCCTACAAGACTGCATGAACACTTCACGCACTGCGTCTAACCTAATGCGGTCAACAACGGTCGGCGCGAAACGCATAGCGCCTACAAGACTGCACGAATACTTCGCGCATTGCGTCAAACACAGTGCGGTCAGCAGCGGTCGGCGCGAAATGTTTAGCTCCTACAAGACTGTAAGAATACTTCACGCATTGCGCCTAACACAGTGCGGTCAGCGCGGCGCGGTGGCGGAAGTTAAAATTATTGAACCTCATTTATGTTTGTTCTTCCATAATGTTTTAGTTCAATTCTTTCAAACGAAAGGCCTTGTCCACACAGAGCTAGGTTTACGGAACTGAACTTTCGTGCTAAGTTCCGTGAACTTTTGCTAGTAGTGTTGACAGGGCTTACGCGAAAAATGTGTCCAACACGAGTGAACTCGTTTTTTGCACCCTTCCCCCTCCGGCACGTTCACTTGATGGTTTTTATTGATGTTTCAAAACGAATAAGAAGGGGGCGGCAAGTAGGTAAATCCGGCCCTGCAAAAGGGTTGTGCGGATTTTTTTTGCAAAATTCAGTTAATTTTCTGCATAGCACGCAGCAAATTCCTTGAAATTTTAAAAAAAATCCGCAATAAAGTTCTCTTGTAAAACATTAAATTGCCCGGTTAAATTTGTCAATAGCTCATGTGGCTTGGTTCCTTTCTGCTGAACGCGGTCTACATGACGGTGCAATTTCTATCCCAATTGTTTGTAATTTCTTGCCCAGTCTAATGGTTCGTTCATGTCTACAGTTGGACTGACCCAACAATTTCTTGGTGAAAGCATGAGTCGTGAGTGGAGATTTGACAACGTTGAAGTGTAGTTACATTT